AAAGTATAGAATATATCTCTTACTTATAATAGAGAGAGGCTTAACTTTAATAATATTAAGATAGATCTTATTGCTAATACTAGTTAATAGTAGTAGAAGGTCTCTACTAATAATCTTAGTAAACTTAGTAAGATAGTAAGCCTTATAGTAGAAGTCTTTAATCTCTTAGGTTATAAATATAATATTAATATAGTAGTATACTTTAATAACTTAATTAAAGTAGGTATATAGAAAATAGTAATATATAAGCTTAAGAGATAGTAGCTGCTTATAGCGAACTATAGTAAGGCTAATAGTAGTATTAAGAGGAATATCCTTCTAATACTAAATAGTAAGGATAATATAGATATTTAATTACTAGTTAACTTTAATAAATAGAGTACTTAATAAAACTTATACTATAGTTGAGGTGTAGTAGTTATATTTAATACTAATATTATATAACTTTCCTAAGCTAAGAAGGTTAGCTAAACTTAGAGGGTTATACTTAACGTTATTAATAGTTTAGTTAACTATCTTAGTTAGGTTTTATAGATTAATAGTTTAGAAATAAACTATGCTAATACCTTTAGGTTAAGTATACTCTTTATTAGTACCTTTATATAGAGGTAAGTTAGCTTTAGCTTTATATATAATAAAATAGCTATACTTATTAAAAATAGAGTTAGAACAGCTAGAGTTAAAGATAATATCTAAATAGAGAATCTTCTAGTTAGTAATAATAGTAAGCACTATCTTACTAATAATATTATAAATAAGTTACTTAGTGATATTTATTAGTCTTCTAATAGTAACACTAGCTAGTAAGGATTAACTAAGAATATTTAGTAAGGTATAGATATAGATAGACTTATTTTTAGGTATATCCTATTTATACTTAGTATTATAGATATACTTCTTAGCTTTTACTAGAATAGCTTTATAGTTAGCTTAATTATCTAGAATAAGTTTAAGATAAGTGGTTATATATTACTAAGTAGTATAAGTATATCTATAATAATTATACTTAGTAGTAAATTTATTAGCTAATAATATAGTAGATACTTTCTTACTATTAGTACTCTGCTAGCTGATATTAGTAATTTTCTTAAAGGTAGTAATACTAATCTTCTGCTCTTTATTTTATATAAAAGTAAATAAGGTTTAAATAATATTATTCTATATAGGTGTCTTATTATTAGTAGTATAGAATTTATAGGTGTTTAGAAGCCTTATCTTAAAGTAGTTAAGAAAGATAATAGATTAGTAGTAGTTAAAGTATATACTAATAAAGCTAGTAATATAGTCCTTAAGGTATTAAGTATATTTAAGCGCGTTATAAAGTATCTTATAATCTTCTGTAGTACCTTTATTAAACTTATTAATAAGTATACTAATAGTATCTTTTAAGACCTTTAGGATATACTTCTTTAGGGCTTCTATTAACTTATATAGGTTACTATTATCCTCCTAGCCTATATTAAGGAGCTTATTAATAAAGCTCTCTATAGCTATAATGAGGATATTATAAGTAATATCTTAATTAGCTGCTTAAGCTTCTTTCTTTACTTCTATATTAGGCTTAGGAATATTCTTAATAATATAGTTATTAATTTAAGTAACTTAAAGTATAGTATTAATAGAGACCTTTTAGGTTATTTAGTTAGACTTACTATATAGCTTTAGTATATTAATAGAGGTTATTCTTATAGTAACGCTAGTTATAATAATAGCTTACCTATAGTAATAAGATAAGAGGGGTAAGAGGTTATAATAGGAGAGATTAATAATATAAGGTGTTTATTAAGAGGAGTTTAACTTATAAGGTAGTAAGCTTACTTATATATACTTAATTAAAAGTAAATATAATAAGATCTCTACTATAGCGTATTAAGGTATATTAAGGGTTAAGAAGGTAAATAGATAAGGTAATTAGTGATAAAATTAACTAATCTGCATATAAAAAGAATAGTAAAATAATAGAAATAATTAAGGGGATTATTATAAACTTAAGGTAGTTAAAAGGACCTTAAAATTAATGTTTTCAGGGTTAATTTAATAAGGTTAGGCTTATAACCTAAGAACGTAGTGATAATTATAATATACTATAGAGAAGAACTAGCTAGACGCTAGGGTGCTGAAGAGGGCTGTATAGCAGCCTCTAGCACTTGCTGGCAGGCCATAGGAGTGGCAGCTGAGTGGCAGGGCCTGTCAACATCTGATATCCTACGAGGCTTGGGTATCAGATTCCATGGATTTTCGGCGGGTTTTAGCGTTGCAATAAATGGGATACCCCTAAAAGCTTTTTTCGCATGATACTTTTTCTTCCTTCCTTCCCTGCTTCGTGGGCACTTAACAATCAAACGTGATGTGTTTGGACCCTCGGACTTCGCCTTAGCTTGAGACACCTTGCAATATATCGCAATGGCCTTACTGCTGAGTGAAACGGTGGTTCCCACGCAGGATCGACGAATCGCAAATTTGTGCATGGGGAAATTCAATCTTCTGTCACATTTTGTGCTTCCCCCATGACGATTCATCCTACTCCCACTTTACGAGCATACCAGACCAATGGACGGACGCCAAAAAGGGGCTCGTGACAAGTCTATCAGGTGCGGGTCTTCCGGAAGGATGAGATTTGACACCGACGTTCTGGGCGAAGGGTGCGCCAGTCTCGGCTTTCGATTGTTCTCTGAGTATTGTTCTCTCGTAAATATCCAAGGGGCAATCTCTAGCCTGCCACATTGGGATAGTTGCATTATGCAGGTTTGCTGCGTTGATGCCCCTACCGACCTGTTATGGGTGAAGAGACGGGGGCCCCTGTCCTCGTTGCTCCATTCTAGCAGGGGTTTAAGTGCCGTTTACCAACTGGTCACATCCTTTTTGACGTGACCAACATTGAGCACCAATAAAACTTCACTCACGAGCCCGAAAGTCTGGATCCCTGACCGCACTGTGTCAAGGTTGTCGAAGAAGCAAACACCAACAAGCAGGTTGTCTGTTGGAACCTCTCCCCCAAAGCCGCCGGAACCGACCAGTAACAATTGGCTTTTTCTCATGACCTCGCACTTTCGGTGACGCCTTTTGTTGCCCACTTGTTGCTGTGGACTTGTGATAAAGCGGTGGATAAGACGTCTCTTCTGGTGATGCCCCGATCACTCACCGCTCTTGACATGCCGACAGCTTTTTGTGTGCAATCACTACTTCATGAGTCGCAATGATCAAAATTAAATGCTCGATGCGGACACTCTCACGTCCACTCACCCCAATGGCAACACTCGAGTTACTGGGTCTGAAGGAGGCGGCAGAAATAAATCACTGTAGTCCCGTTGGTGCCGGGTACACGAACCCGATGCTATAAGAGCGGCCTCCGCGAAGCTCGACCGACAACCTAAGGAAACCAAGGTACTGTTGGTTGTGACCAGCAAGCAAAATGACTCTTAGATACGAACACGAATGGCGTAGCTTTAATAAAGAGATGTAAGGCGGTCGAGCAGTTTGGAAAAGAGATCTTGCAATATTGCTGTAATCTCATGGTGTCATTTGGATTCTTCAACAAACAAGATCGACTATTCCATCGACCCGGACTGAAGCAGACCGGTCTTTCCATCTTCCCGGAGTCCGGCGGTGAAGAGACTTGGAGCACTATTTAACAACTCACCAGCACATCTTACCGGAAGCAGATGTTTGCTCAACTGCATAGAAAGTCCGAGCAATCGGTGAGACGATTAAATTGTGGGGGTGGTTGCCGTTTAAGATATCCTGCATGTCTTGGCTGTCAGACGCACTTCCAACAGAGAGCACGTGAATACCACTTCCAATCGGCGGTGGGGCCGTTCAGAAACCCTGTAGGAGACACAGGGAGGCTCAACATGCACCAACCCGACTACATCGTCGGAGCCGATACCAGATGAAGCCGAGATGAGCATCACTCGCACGAAGCGTCGAAGTCAACATGAGGGCATCACGACCATTGGCAGCCCATACGCAAGATGAACTTAACGTTATATCTGAGCCATCACCCTACATCACACCTACCAGGCATGCCAAGATCGTCACCTCGCTGACCTCGGCGAGGCTAGAGAACGCTAGAGGGGCGTCTCGGCATTCCCCAGACCGTGAACCAAGTTAGTCATCACACAGAACCATCCACGCCCTCAGCTGTCAAACCAGTCAGCTCGGTGTCGTCCAAGAACCGGTGGTAACCCGATGCGGCGAAATCAGGGCGAAGCCACGTGGAGCTGTCGGTTCTTCAGCGCACCGTCTCTCAAGATCTGCGCCATACAAAGGCTCAGCTTCTTGCCTCTTGAGGCAATACACACGAGAAAACCCAGGGTCCTGCTGTGACCCTGTAGCTGGCTTGCGACCACGCACAGCTTCGAAGAACGGCGCTTCATGTTAGTGCGCGAGTCCTTACCAAATTGAACGACGACTAAGCGCCCACATCGAAATTTTGCTGGAAATGCTCTGCTCTCGTCTTTTGTCCGATGAGCTGATCTGTGAAAACGGTAACCCGTGTCCCGCGAGCTAGAACGCCGCCACCAAAAGCTTCCTCGCCAACCACACGGCTGGGGGGCCGTCCGGAATGACACGATCTAGTCACGGTCGGCTAAGGAGAACTAGACCACCGGGGAAGTCCACTAGCCCGTCCCGATGCGGCGAAATAGCATCCTCGATTTCCCATTTTTGTCACATTCCTGATCGCCCACGGATCGACAGCTGCTTTCTTTGCTGCTAAGCGCCTTGCGCTGCATTCATCCAAAGTTGCGCAGCCCTGCTGACAATCAGCGAATCAGTCCGGGCAAGCCAAAGAATGTGGTCGTCTTTCTTCTCTCGCTTTCGCCAAGAATAACTAATCATGTAAATCTTTCGTCTTTTGAATCGATAGGTTTATAAAGCTGTCGCTTACCCCACCAATTCCCCCCCCTGCCCCCGGAAGTCTTTGTGTGAGGTTTCTATTTTCGCAATACCAACCCAGGAGACAGACACATCGCGAGATTTTGTGTCGCCTCCTTATCGACATGGATTTGCCGAAGCTTACACCCGAGGAGATGGCGGAGGATAGGTCGGCTACCGTTATCGGAGTGGTGACGATGTGTTTCGTCCTCTCAACCTTCTTCCTGGTCCTTCGGTTATGGACCCGAATACATGTCGTCAAGTCAACTGGGCCGGACGACTGGGCCGCAGCATTCTCTTTGATACCGGTTCTAGGCTGCGGAATCGCCATCGCAACAAGTTCGTCTTGTCCACATCCTTGTTCGCGAACACACAACTGACTAGTACCAGTGACGCGATACGGCCTTGGAAAGCACATTCAGACGGTATCTGTGCCTGAGTATGTCGAGTTTACCAAGGTGAGCAAGCCCCTACCATTACCCTTCGAACTTTTCTGATCAGGATTTCAACAGTGTTTTTGGGTCTCTGTCGTTTTCTATGGCCTAGGACATCTATCTTTCAAAATGGCGTTCCTCCTCCAGTACTACCGCGTCCTAGCCTCGGGCCACATGCGGAAATTCTATATTGCTGCTATGGTCCTCGTGACAGCTTGGGGAGTTTCTGTTGTCATCATGTCGCTGGCATTTTGCACACCCATCGCTGGGTTCTGGGACCACAGCATTCCTGCGAAGTGCCTGTCCCAGCAGGTTCTCTATTACGTCTTCGGAGCCTGCAGCATCATCACCGACGTCATCATCTTCTTGCTTCCATTGCCAGCCCTGATGAAGCTTCAGCTCCCTCGTTCTCAGAAATGGTACCTGTTGGGGATCTTTAGTCTCGGATTCTTGTAAGCCTACCCACTCCCCTTCGAAAATCTAAGCCGATGAGAACCTGACAATTTTCCTTGTAGCATCGTCGCCATCTCTGTCTTCCGTCTGCAGTTCCTCAATATCCAAGCAGACTTCACGTACTGGAACGTAAAGCCCGCGCTATGGTCGATGGGCGAGTTGTCGGCAGCCATGGTGTGCCTCTGCCTCCCGCCCCTCAAGGCCCTCCTCGCCAGGATGGGTCTGGTCGTCGCCACCAGACAGGCTGTGTCCTCGAACAACCGGAACAGCCGCAACTTCGGACCCACGCCATCGAGCGTGGCGCAGTCTGCCACTGGCAAGACATTGGAGACCAGCCAGACCAACTCACCTGGGGAGAAGCCGTCGGCTTTTGGAAACTTTGTCGTGGAGAGTGAGAGAGATCGCAGCGAGCAGAGTACATCATCTTCATTGCCTCCTGTATGAGGTATCGGGACGGTCTCATGAATAATGATGTCATGCGGTTTGGTCGGCGCAAAGGAATATGGTGATTTAATTCTTTCTCCCATTAGCTCGGGATTAATCATGGCGATGGCGGAGTTCATAAGAATGTTGGACTGATACCACAATTCTTATTTGCGTGTGAAGAAAAAAGACAATAATAGCATAACAACAACATATTACATCTTTCCCTCACTATAGCTCGGGGTAGTGCACTGATTCTCTTGCCATCATAAGCAATCCCCATGGCTATCTCTGGCGCCACGATGACAGAGAATTTCGATCTACTCAGCACCAAGTTCATTCAAGCATATTGTGTTTCGATAAAGTAGATACGAACTACGCTCAACATAACAGCCAAGATCCCTACCCGTAGCCTCGGCGATGCATTGGATGAACATCTTTAGGGGAGGTATGTTCACTGGCCAAAAAGGATCACACCCATAGCACCCTAGCGCAAGACACTTGAGACCCTGTAACACTGATTTGGGGTTGAATCATCGCCTCTGACTCTTCTCATGGTATCCTGGTTGGTATGCCGAGACATGAAGTTAAAGGTTTTTTACCAGGTGAGGGGCCCCAATATTCTTCCACGTAACTATGATTTCGCGTTCTAATTACCACCGTGCGTTCTTTCTAGCTCACTTGAGAAAGCGTGTTGGTACCTCTGTTGTCTCTATCGTCAAATTTATTCTTTATTCATGGACGCGACTTCTCATCGTGCGCTTCATCTTCACACGAAGCTCAAGGCTTAATAGGATCACAAATCAATTCAAAGGGCTCATCCCAAACATCTTGGACTCACTGCTATTGAAGTATCTATGAGGGTTTGATGTATGCATGTGCTCAAGAGCATTGAGAACCGCTCAATGACGCCACCTTGCCACGGCCGAGACAGCAGCTGCGGTAACTTGTGTACACAGACTCAGGAATACAGCACTATGAGGAAAAAAGGATGAGCCTACGTTGATGGAGCCGTCGAGATAACGTTGATGACTTACTTCCCAGTTCTGAGCATACTGTGAAACCTTGCCGGGGCAACAGGCTCTTTGGTCTGCTTCCGAGCTCCAAGATCCAGTGTCGACAGCACAATTTCCAACATAGGTTTGAGCCATGGAGGAGCCGACCATGGCAGCTAGTCTTTCGTCAGAGATCAAGTACAATTGCCTGTTCTGAATCCGTACGCACCAAATAGAACGGACGCGGACAGACGCATGTTGAACGATTGGAGATGCGGGTGCTTAGGCTTAGTAAGTGTAGTGATAGTAATAAATTCAGTGAACTGGTCGCAATTCCCCAGAGATGATCGTCTTATTTATAACCTACCATCTCTCTCAGGGTTTGGACTCATCGGGGAAATCAATCACGCTAAGTGGATGATTCATTTACATCCTATCGGCAAGCCGACGTTGGTTGTGAACTTTACAGAACTTGCGAGTTACGCAAATCAATAACTACCAAGTTGCGAATAGACATAGTGAGCAGGTCTGCGGCGCGGGATCCGCGAAAGTTCGAAGCTATGTTTACTGACAGGCCAATGAAGGCCGAGCACGCATTAACCCTGGGTTTTGGTCAACTCAACTCACCGCTGATCCCTACTCGGTACGAAAGCGATACCGATACGAACGCGAAGGTTTCGTAAGAACTCCACAGCTCAATATATCTTACCTGCGCATAGGCAAAGTGATTTAAATGATGCGGGAAGTTAATTCACAGCATTCATCAATACGCCTGGCGGAATCATTGCGAGTGATTTGTGATAGACCCATATCAATAACTCACGAATTAGCTCGACAAAGAGCGCTCAGCGGTGAAAGTATTACAATTACAGGACCGAAATAGGTGTTGAGGACACGATGTTTGTTTTCTGCTATAGATAACCCCGCTTCTTGGACACGAAGGTCAACCGCGACCGGAATCAAATGCTTCCCTTCTCCTCTATCTCTGTTTCCCTATTTCTCTGGGTTTTCTATGCTTTGAAAAGATTCTGCTGATCCATGTGCGGAATACGCGTGGAATTCTTTCCGGGTGACTGCACTCGCCCGCATCCGATTTTGCAAATTCGGACGTCTTGGGATGAGCTGGCACCCAAGAAGCAATCGCCCTCCTGATCGACTGTAATAAATCAAACAAATGTAGGCCATGCCTTCCCTGTGTGTAATGACTACGAATGCATCTGCAAGCTCCACCTTCGCACGAGAACAAGTCAATGAAGCAATGTGCCATCTCATGAATCACAAAGCAGATGATGTCTGCGACACTGTAGTAGTCGCCATAAGTGTTGATGTCAATGCGTGCACGAGTCGGCGGGCAATCGAGGTAATTCGTGATGATTGATGAAGTGCTCCAAGTGGTCATCTCGGGATCGAAAAGTCTGATGTCAATTTCGAGACAGTAACGGTCTTTCTGCGACCGATACCTGTCGGTTTGTGTAAGTTGACCGGCGAAAAACAGTTGATCGATCAACTCGGCGCATCTGCGTATGTGCTTGTGATGACTGGAACGGTCGCTTTTGAACTTCTCTGTGTAGCCTTTGACTATGGCGTGACAGAGCTCGTCTCGGGCGCGGGTCAAATCTTGGGATGTCGGTATCTTTTCGATCTCATCTATGACCCCATTGATCAAGTCATGGGGAAAGTAGCAGCCTCTCTTCAAAGGCAGATGTGCTAGATAGCCCATGTTTTGCGGGTGAGATTGGCATGGTTTGATTTTGTCCATGGCTTTTTGCGAGTGCTGTCGTTCAATCTGCTCTATGTTGTTGACTGATTCCTTCTGCGCTGCGTAGACATCCACCTAAGTGTGACCCGCGGGGAATAGCCACCTTATATAGAACTGACTATGCACCTGGGAAACCTAGCTTGAATGCGATTTTCCGTGGAATTCTATGAAGATTGGCCAAGAACAATTGGACTGACTTCACCCCACGTGTGGAAGTTCACGGCAATCTCACTTCGTTGAATTAATCACGGAGAAGGGAAGCCCTCAATATCTACATAAAACCCCATCATTCTAGAGTTTGTTTGTTGGCTGTGTTTCCTTTGCTGAACTGTGACAAACAGTTTCGGAGAATCAAATTTCTCTACAACACGTACCAAGCTCCAGCAAAACATTAGCTTCAGACATTCTTGTCAGCCAGACACCTGCAGATTCTGTATGTCACCTCACTTCTCAACCGACCTGTCTCCTCGACAGAACTTTGACGAGCAGCGGGTCTGTAGGCACAGCAGCTACCCATTCCCGTCTCTTTGGCAGCTCTACCGGTATCCAGCCGTGGCCGTATGAGTGACTTGAAGACTCATCAGGGGCAACCAACTCAAAACTCTGGATGATCTTCGCCAAGCTGAGGTACAGTTCGTAGTAGGAAAAGCTATTCAGATCAAACGTCAGATAGGTTTTGTACCATGCGGAGAATGGTGACTTACTGGAGGCCGATGCAAATGTTTGGACCTTTCGAGAATGGAACATAGAATTTGTCTCGAAGAGTGTCTTCTTTGATTGCCATTCCCCTCTCGTTGATCCAACGGTATGGATTGAACAACTCGGGGTTTGGAAATGCAGACTTGTCTCGCAAATACCAAATTGGCGATGAAGTCAACACGGTCTTTGTTGGTCAGTAAATCAGACAAATCTTCTTAGACAAGTCGAACAATACTGAATGAAGATGCAAGCCAAAAGTTTCGTTTACAAACGGCAAGAAGTGCCACAGAAGACACGAAAGAGACAAGGCGAGACACGCAAATGACAATTGCAGAAATAGAACAATAGTGAATGGCACCTACCCCTTCTGGGATGAATTTACCAAGAAGCTCCACGCCGCCCTTTGGGACAACTCGGGGCAACATCGCAGCAGCTGCACCGGCCCAACGAACGCCTTCCTTCACGCAGGCCTTCAGTCGAGGAATGTTCTCCAAAGAAGTCAAGTCGATTGGGAAACCCACGCGAGCAAGATCTTCATAGAGCGCTTGTTGGAACACTTGGTTTTTGGACAGTGCGTACAGGGTGTGTGCCAATGAAGCTGAAGTTGTGTCTGTTCCTGGTCCCAGGTTCTCTTTGGCTTCGGACAGTGCGGTTTGGGATGGAACACCGGCTGCCACCATGACTCTGATCAAGTTGGGAAATTCAGAGGGTGTCGGTTTTTCGGCGAGCTTGTTGCGAGTCCAGGCATTGTGTGTCCACTAAAATATCATAAGTCGGGGATAGAGCGGCGTTGACACGTTACAAACCTGGTCGTATTGCGCAAGGCCTTTTTTGTACGAGACTCGTGACCCAGTAGCTCGGCAGACGATGTCTTCAATAGAAATCCAAAGCTCATACAGCGTCGGACAGTTCATAAGCTAATCAAGTCAGTCTGTTGCTTCTCCATTCCTGTTGATGATGAACCTACCAAAGGCATCAACGTCGCTTTATGGTCGTTCTTGGATACTATCGCGAGCTCTTCTTCTTTAGACCAAGCAGTAATGGCATGAAGTGCCTCACCGAAAGAGAATTCCGCTGCAGCTAGTTAGTCATGATACAGCTTTGGGATGCTTCATGCCAAGGTACAAATAATGTCTGCCTCAAGCGCTCTACATGCCGGTCCAATGTCAAATGCACCAAACTTTTGGCGAGTCATCTCAACAAAATGGTCCACATGCTTGAGCATTAGCTCTTCCAAATGCCCAATTTTGCTGCGGCTGTATAACTGGCCAAGTATTCTTCGACGCTTCGCATGTTCTTCTGGATGACTTATTGCTCTCAGTTATAATTACTTAGATTCAGCAAATCAGCTTACGTGATTGAGAAAAGTGCTGGATGGCCGCCTTGGACGAATTCGCCATAGTTGCGCGGGTCTTTTACGAAACCACTGTTGAGCTTATGCACTGCGTCGTAAATTTCCATGGAATAGAATGAGACTTCGTTAGGACCTATCTGGACAAGGGGACCTGCCGCCACATGAATCAGTCTCGTTGTACCAGCAGCGACACTCTGAATCGCGATAAGCACCTAGCCGTTCGTGAAGCTCGGGAAGCTTCAGGGTAACGTTGCCTCTGTACTCTTGCCAGAAGATCCATAGCAGACGTGAGTAATTCGCTCCCCAGCCGGCTTTTGGTAAGTGGGATAGAGACGACGTGCGAAGCTTAGTGAAGGTCTGCGAGCTGTGAGTAAGCGGTCAACCGATGAATGTGTTTGTCATTGATCGTCGTCACCTTTACTATTGTCAATGCCACCAACACCAAGAGACCCAAAAGTGTTACGGCAAGTAGAGCCATGGCTGAGTATTATTCTTCAAACCGAGGCCGTGAAGTTTGACTGCCTCTCAGAGGATGGGAATATGCAGGTGCAGTTACGTCCAAGTTGTCCACGAAGAGGATCAGAGCATGAGCCGAGGCAACTTCGAAATTGCATCAATAGCTCCGGCGACTTATTTTCAACTCAGATTATCTACCGCGAATTTTATCTGACAATTGTCTGACCGCTATCATTTCACCTTGCTAGAACCGATTGCGTGATTGCCTTTACCCTCAAACCCATGCAGAATTTCCGTAACTGGAAGTCAACCCGGATAACAACCCTTCGGCGGGTTTGATGAAACTTGACACCGGGTCACATAAGCTGACACGTCGTTCGCTGTTTGACTTCAATTTACGATGCTGCATCCAGCCATTTACGAGAAGTATTGATTACAAAAATTGGGTGCCGTGTTACCGCAGGCGGAGCTAGCTCCGTTGTAGATTCGTAACATTTGGGGTCGATTTGAGCGCAGAAAATGCATGCGCCAACCGGAAAGATACAATGAAAAAAGCGCTTGACGATTGATAAATCTCTGAGGACTCTTCTCAATAAAAAAACATCTCCATATAACCTGAGCTCACCTCGCTAACAATAGAGGGCTGTTGCTTGCGCGTGTTGCTAAAGCCGTTTAGTACCTACATGCCGATGCCGTCATCCAGTCCCACATCACGCGAGTCAAAATTACCGCCATTGGAAGGGTTTCGCTCTTCACTAAAAACAAAAGCCGAGTATTTCCGTCCCACCTGACGAGTTTTCGGGTCATTTGACGGACCTACCATAAGATGCGCGCATTCTCCATTTTGCGTGTTTTTTCCTTTCTGAACATCCCGCAATTCGCCCGATTTGGACAGACACCCAAGACTGCTTGAGTGCAACGCCAAGATGACTGCGCAGCGGGAATATGGCACCGTCAGCAAGGACGTGGGTGTCACGAACAGCGACACCGAGGGAGAGTCCAACAAAGACACACGGATCTTGGTGCGTGACCTGACACATACTGACTGGGTGCCGGGGTATGGGCTGACTGAGGACTTTCGCAGGAAAACCTAGGTTACAAACCTGTAAGTTGCAAAGACCCTTTTTGGACTTTCGGTAGCTGACATGATTTGCAGGTGTTGCACAGAACGTTTAATGTTTTCCACAATTTCGCCACGACTTTTGGTGAGTTCCGCATCGAGAAGCTCTCAACAGAACGCGCGCGCTAAGTTGACCTAGCTGCTCTTTACTTCATTGGCGGTGTCCGCGTGACATTCTCGACTGGAATTGCAGCTGGCGGAAACTTGGCTTATTGGTAAGATCAAAGCCACACTGCGCTAAGGTCAAGCATGCTAAACAACAAACAGGACGAGTTTTATCGTTACCTGCGTCTTCACATTCATTACCGCCGCTGTCATCGCAGAGATTTGCTCGTCACTTCCTCTCGCCGGTTCTATCTACCTGTGGGCTGCTGAAGCTGGAGGGCCCAAATATGGAAGACTGCTTGGTTTTATCGTTGCGTGGTGGAGTACTACCGCGTGGACAACGTTCTGTGCCAGTGAGTTTTGAGTTCTGAATTCACAACTGCTTGTCAACTCTATGACGCATAGACTTACAAAGCTTCAGGCAACACTCAAGGAGCTGTCAACTACATGCTTTCGGTGAGTTACCGCTTAACTCCGAATATGGCTGGAAGTATTCCTGCTAATGAGTTGACAGGAAATCGTCGTCTTCAACTTGGACTTCCCGTCTGACAGCTCAAGTATCAAGTTCAGGGCGGTCCAATGGGCTGCGACTGAAGTAATGCTTGCCGCTGCCGCAATTTGGAACTTGCTACCCCGTAGGTTGTTCACGTCAGTGTCATTGCGATTCTGCTAACAGTAGTCCAGCTCGCTATTTCAAATGGATATTCTACCTCTCCACTGGCTTTGTCCTGTTGGACTTTGTGCTGAACATGATCTGGTTGCCCATTGCCACGAAGAACACCATCGGCTTCCGCTCAGCTCATGACGCTTTCTTGACGACCTACAACGGAACCGGCGCCCCCGACGGATGGAACTGGTGTCTCTCGTATCTTGCCACTGCGGGTATTCTCATTGGCTTCGACGCCTCCGGGCATGTTGCGGAAGAAACCAAGAACGCTAGTATCGCGGCTGCACAAGGCATCTTCTGGAGTACTGTGACCAGCGGCATTGGCGGTTTCATTGTCGTCATTCTTTTTCTGTTTTGTGTTGTAAGTCTAAATGATGCAGACCAGCGGTTACATGTGTTGACCTGACACAGCCCGATGCGGATACCCTCTTCTCGTACGGTGGTGCTCAGCCGTTCGTGCCCTTGTACGCTGCCATTCTTGGCCAGAGGGCACACATCTTTATGAACATCATCTGCATTGTTGCTTTATGGTTTGTAAGTCACATTCAGACCCCCGCAACGCAGAAGGAAGGCTGACCCTTCCCAGAACACTGCTATCGCTGTCCTTGCCGCCTCTCGCCTGGTCTTCGCCGTCGCTCGCGATGGCGTCCTCCCGTACTCCTCCTGGGTTTCCAAGGTTGTCGACGGCCAACCCAGGAACGCGATTCTCGTCGTGTGGGGAGTCGCTTCCGTCATCACTTGCACGATCCTCCCATCTTCCGTGGCCTTCACCTCGCTGGTCTCCGCGGCAGGTGTCCCGTCGGCGGCCGCCTACGGCCTCATCTGTCTGAGCAGACTTTTCCTGACTCCCAAGACATTCCCCAAACCTGCTTGGAGTCTCGGAAAATGGAGTCGCCCCTTCCAAGCGATTGCAGTCTTGTGGAATGGCTGGGTTGTGGCGGTGCTGTTCTCCCCGTATGCCTTTCCTGTAGAGGCGTCAACACTCAACTACGCCCCGGTCATCATGGGCATTGTCACCATTTTCGCGGTGTTCTCATGGTGGTTTATCCCTGCTGAGAAGTGGCTGCCCTCTCAGCGTATCCAGGAGACGTTGGATGCCGGAGAGAGACCGTTGGTCGAGCACTAGGCCATCCTTCCTGTTGAGCAATACGAGGTTTGAAGCTTTGTGAGGCTGCCGGACATCGAAAATGAACTACATTCGTTGGTTTATCAAGTGTCTAATTCCCGTGAAAGACCTTACACAATCCGACATAGACTACATACATAATATTCTCTGTTAATAGAATCACGAATTGAGAGGGGTCTGAGCACCCTCGAACTATTTCTCAGCAGCTTTTTCAAATCAAGGAAGTTGAGATGCCATGATACAAGCCTAGGCTTGTCCAGGAGAACAGACAACTCCGCTTGTAAATCGATCAAAAAGATCACCCTGATGGGCGTGTACGCCTACTACCACCCCAATCTGGTCAAGTAGCAAAAGGTATCTGTCCGGATCGGAAGTGACTTTCCCTTTTTTTTTTTTTTTTTTTAATAACAAATAAAAACAAAATACAAAAAAGGTCGCGATCGCACCTTGAACCACCCAAACTCCAGCGAACATTTAGTTTCGCAAAGTTTTAGAAGCTCCTCGGTTTCAAAATCTCCAACCTCGTGGGCATCTGCAGACTGCAATCTGCATCACTTTGCCCAAGTGCAATCTCAACATTTCATAAGCATCAAACAACGACATCGAGAACATTCTACACCGCCAAGTACCAAAATGGCCACCCAGACATTCCACCAGTTTCCCATGCTGCCTGGAGAGATACGAGACCAAATATGGGATCTCGCAGTTCGCCCGCTCGGCTTCCGAGGCGTCCACATCTTCATCTATATCGATGAACACGCCTACGACGGCCATAAGCCTACTTCTAACACTTTCCCTCGGCACCTAGCAAAGAAGATGTGCGGCGATCCTCACCGGTTCGTTGGCGCACCGACTCCCGCCAACGAGACATCGCCGCGCTCTTGGACCGCGGGAAATCCGTCAACCTACGCCGTCGACGGAGGCCTCCTCACCGCCTGCAAAGAGTCTTACATGGCAATGTGCCGTCGCTATGATATCTACAAATGGTCCAAGTATGTTGACGCTTGTCCCAAAGTGAAGGACCCGATACATTATTCGTATCTACAGGTATGGGACATCGTAACGATGCCTGAATGGGTGATAAAGGATTTCCTACCATTTGCACCCCGGCTAGTCGGGAGCAGCAGGGTCAACCACATAGCCCTCGAATTCGATACTTCATTAACCATCGATGGCCTCCAAAGATATCAGCATGAATGGGAACGCGATTTCGAAGACAATCTTGTAGGAGTCTACCCTGATTATCCTCATGGCTTGGACAAAACGACTAAGTGGAAATATGACGGGCTGGCTACGGCCATGAAGAGCTGGAGGTCGTCCCCGGATACGAGGCTCTGGCTCGTGGATCGTCGACTGCGCCTTAAGCATACCGCACTCGACGCGAAAAAATCCTGTTGGGCATTTGATGAAATTGATGAAATTGATGAAATTGATGAAATTGATGAAATTGATGAACCCAGCCACGAGCGTCTCATTTTTGAGGCCGAAGACAGCTCATATGTCGGTCTTCCGAACATTTGCGCTTGGGAATTTTGCGAGTACGAAGATCAGACAAACTTAACGACGAGAATATGGGGCTTCATATCCGAGTTGGATGAAATTGCCGAGCAACAGCTGTTGATGGAGAGAAACGAACATTATCAAATCGGAGCCCATGCTGACTTCCATACTTTCGGTATTTTGGTCTGTAAGCCTAAGCACTGATATCATGAATAAGCGCTAGAATCTTTTGTTACATGCACTATGGCATTCACTTACTGCTTAGGTACTTTTATGCCCTCTTTACATGTTTAATCAGCTCCAGGATCTGATCATTTTCAGTCTCGCGGGACTCAAAATTGGTAAGGTGGATGACATCTGGCAACCGTTGGGTGGGAAGCTTGGGATGGCGGGGGAGTCCAGGGTGCCTTCTAAATAAGTACCTTCAGTTTTCTATCCACAATTTGATACCTCGTTGGACATAGTGGCTCTCATTCAAACTCATAATTATGATCTCTTGAATGCGTAAATGTCCCGCGAGGGAGTTCAGTCTTGTCCTGTGGCTTTGTTACGCGCCACCCTGTACTGTACAAACAACCGTCCGTTCCCCTTTCCGTTTCCCGTGCGGTTCCATGAGTCAAGTCTTTGAGCGAATACCAAAAAAAGCAGCTGTTCCATCCCATATGTTCACTCGGAATGCCGTTGTCCGGAAGACCAAGTCTTAGTCAATACTGCGCGCGTCCTCAACTCACAGCGGTCTTGCTGCAAGCCACCAGACCTTCTGGCCATTGCTCCTTGCTGCGATACCTTCCCCCCTTTTCCACAACTTCACGCTGAAATCCTCGTATGGGTCAATCGCCTCGTCGGTCATCCCGAAGTCCTTCAGCTGCGGTGCCCAACTTTGCACTTGCCCCAGCACTGCTTTCAGTACCGCCACGAAGGCGAGGCCATGCCCGTTCCCATCCAAGTCCCGATGCATCGTCTCAAAGTCTGTTCCGCACTGCTTCTGTCGACAGGAAAGGAGTATCAGGTAGGCGTGGACCATTTCGTGGATCGCGATTTGGATGACTTCTCGGAGCGAAAGTGCCTCCGTCTTGCCGTCCGCATGGTGGCGGACCGTGCTCAACCGGATGGAGATGCTCGGGCTCGGACTGGTGTTGCGTAGCCCAGGCTTGGTCCGGAGAGCCTGAGTCCACCCCACGCGACCCCGCCATTGTCCGATTTCGAGAAGCACCGGATGCGAGGCGTGGTTCAGGTGAGCTGTGGGGAAGAGCAGGCCGGGAAAGCAGAGCTCATCGACCAATTTCATGAGTGTAAAAATCGTGCTAACTGAAACGACTTTCGGGCTTTTGTCGGATCCTTGTTTTGATAGAATGCGGGCGACTGTGTCTCTCAACGGTTTCTCGCGGGCGGTCCATTGCACTTGTCCGGCGATGCTCTCGGCTAACGTTATTGCGACGTCGTTTATGTTGTGTGATTGCGTCTGTACCAAGTGATCGTTCTTTCGGAATATCGAGGAGGAGTGTTGGCAGCGCGGTGGCGAATTTCTCGATCTCTTCTGTGATTCTGCCATCTTAAAATGGCTGCAACGGTCGAAATGATGTTTGGCAATTGTTCGAGTTTGAAGTGATAATGGTGACAGGTCCGTTTTGTAAGTTTCGTTTCTCGCACCTTGACGCGCTTGGGTGCGTCTGGCGCAGCTGCCAGATGTCGCAGCGTTGGGCACGTTCCTTCCTTCCCATAGGGTTGTGTAGGAAGGGTCAGAGAAGGTGCCTGGGCTCATCCCCAGTATTCAAATTCCGACCGCAGTCAGTGCCGCGGGGTGGTCTTGATGGGTTTGGGAAGTCCTGCGCGTCCCGCGTGGCATGGTGAAAGAAACATGGTTATGTGCTGGGAAGGAGGGACAAGGGAAGGCAGTGGTGTGTGCTGCTTTGGTTTAGAATTGATGATATGATATGTAGAAAGCCCGGCCAGGCCAGGGAAGAAGATTCTAAGATGATGGGAAAGGGATTACAAGGTAGTAGTCCGTCCGTATGTTGAGCCGAAAAGATGCACCTGGTAGATTCCGCATGGAGGACCGCCGCCGCCAAAACCATTGATAACACCGTCGCCATGCTAATATGCTTTTCAAACTTAACACGCCATTGTGCCGACCCGCGAAACAAATGAAAGTAAATATACAATGACTGGCGATGCCGCTGATGCATTCCGGCATCCCCTAACGTATGGTGATGATGGAGCTGGGGCTGCTGTCGTAGCTTAAGACCAGCCCTCGTCGGTCATCGGGACGGGTCCATCGCCCGTCGTGTGAGTCATAATGTCGTTCGTGGTGAGAAGATGAGTGTCTGCTAGAGGCGTAATCGTCGGGGAAGTAGAGTCGTCCACGTGTCTCACGGATCTCGCCTTCCTCCAACGGCTCCACTTCTTCAAATTCCCCCTCAGTCGTGGTCGGGATCGTCGATGTGGGACTACTACCCCGACTGACAGGAAAGTATTCTGGGTGGTCATTGATGCAAAAATCCCAACGATCCTGGTGGTGGGGGCGTGGTCTGTCGTGTTCGTAGGATCGGTGCTCGTAGTAAATGTGCTGATGAGGCGAAAGGTACTCCTGAGAGCTGTGGAAGATGGCCCGAGACGCCTCAGTAAATGTTGGCCCGTGACCGCAGGAGTGACCTTCGTCCTCACGGAAGTGCTCTAGGTCAGCTTCCATGTCGCGGAGGTGCAGGTTGTCCGACCCAGCCCAGATATCGATGAGCTCTGCGATTCTCCGAAATCCTGGCGTGTGTCCACCGCAGTGACGAGCCTTGATGCCGCACTTGATGAATAGGTAGCTGTGAATGAGTTCGTGTAAAAACGTTGAGATGAGAAGCCGTCGATTGTACTTCTTGTCTTTCAAGATTGGGTTCGAAAGCACAATGAGGGTCTCAAATCCTCCCATCTTGGAACGTCGAAGAGCTGTGGTGCCGATAATGTGGTCCTTGTACTGGGCGCTGGACGCATGAGACCAATCCCAGGTGACTCGCTGAGAAAGACAGTTGTGAAAGAAAATCTCATTTGCCGCAGAGAAGATACTCTCCAACGCAGCGTTGTCGATGGAGAACTCGGCGTGGCGTGACCGTGGTTGAATGAGCGACCTCAAAATCCTCTCGCGCTGCGTGTCTTTCGCTCGGCGCCGGTTGAGGTGCAATCGATCCTCCACCATTCGGGCGGCAGCATCATCGTCCAGAAGTCTCGAGTCCTCATCTTCGGCGAGGTTATAAATGCTGGTGTCGGATGAGATTGATAAACCTGATGCGGTCCTTTCCATGGCTGATGGGCTGACATCGGGTTCCGCACATTCGGGCGTGGGCGGTGTCGGCGATGTTTGCTCTCGGATAACCAGAAAAGACAGGTTTTGCACGGGAACAGAGCCGCGTGGTGGTGGTGGTGTACAGCCGGGGTCCGAGTCGGGAATGAGATGTGATAATCTCGGCCTCTTTGGCGGAGGAAATGCGTCCTGGTGGTCGTAGGTGTCGTAGAAATCGTCTTCATCAAGATGACCAATCCGTCGTTTGCCACCCATAATGTACAGGTCGGGACTCAGGGCATTGTCCTCGCCCTGGGACAGTGGCCTTGCCTCCCCTCCTACCACCCAAAACGCCATTGAACATGTCTGGAGAGTTGCAGATGGGTGTGAAAAGGTGAAAATGGACGGGAAAGGGCGAATCTCGGAGGATCGGGGTAGGAGAATGGTTGGCAAGCCGGGGGGGGTTGAAAGTGAAATACGGGCGGCTTCGCACCCTGGAGTCATGTGCGCCCGGAAATCGCATTGAGCATGCCGGTGGAGAAGGGTGACGGACGACGGCGTCCGTCCAATGGCTGGGTACGGCAACTAACGAGGAATGGATAAGTCGGGAAGCCCATGCTAGAGAAACGAAACAAAGACAAAGGTTTCGAGTAGCGTAGTGAGGCGAATGGGGGAGTGATGGGAATTCCTGCCAGAGAGCGTCTTCTCTGGGCGAACAACAGATGCATGGAGAGACCCAGCTCAGGGCCGCACAGCGTAGCATGGGCCGTCTAGGCCCCCTTGGCTGGCGCTCCAATGCAGAATCCCAACCAGCGGGACGAGGTTTTGGGGGTCGTTTGCGGTTTCGATAGGTTGGGTGGATGGCAGACGACCGTCGTACGAGCGGTGTGCAGGAGCTAAGGCGGATATGCGTGTGCGGCGTTGCGCATCGCAGATTTAGTGCGAGGTCCATCGCTGCCATCCCCCGACCGGTGCAAGGAACGTGGCGTCGTCAGGGCCGTCTTGGTGTTGGAGCTCGACGAACCTACCCTCCCAGCGCTGCCAACCTTGCAAGCCTCGAAGGCTGCCATTGCACGCCTCAATCTCAATTGCCCTGAGCCGCCCTCCCTGCAAGCAAGACACAGCTAATGTTGCTGATGTTGATGACGCAGGAGACGTGGTGCTCGACGCCGTCTCACATATATGCAGTCCGTCAGCCAGGCAGCCCTTCCAGACCTCGTGGCCACACAGGAATCTCGAGATCACGAGTCCACCCGAAATCGACGGCTCGCCGGATCAGTGCAGAGCGCGGGCGGAAGAGTCCAGGTGGAGGTATTCGAGCGACCGCGGCGACGGCGACGGCGACGGCGACACAGCAGCACCTGCACTGCTGCAGAGCGAGGGATGGCAAGGACGCACACCCGCTAGGGCGGTGGGGGGAACAACACTGGAAACTGGAAACTGGAGGCGTAGTGGTGGGCGGGAGGCGAGGGTCGGCCGTGTCCAACAGATCTGGTTGGGTTCGGCAACGGGGGGCTGGACTTTTGCCGCCCATCATTGGCTGCGCGACCCCGGACTCGACCTGTCATTGGTTGCCTCACCCGTGCACATCGTCGTCGTCTGTGGTCGCCTCCTTTTTTCGAGGCTTCCAATATTTTGGAGATTGGATTGCCAACAACAGAAGTTGGAAGCCAACAACAGTCTTCCTCTTTCGCATCCCACCCTGGTCCGCCGTCCGCTCGCTCCCTCGCTCGTGCTGCCTATCCGTACGCTTGTCCATGACGACTCGGCCACAAAGACCCACGGAGCATCCTCCGACGCAGAACCAAACAGACGACGAAAGCGACCAGGAAGCTGACTCCTACACCCCGTCCAGTACAGGGCAGGCGAGACACAAGTCCGGTCGTTGTTGCACTGCGCCGCGATGCGATGCGATGCGATGCGGTGTGCTTGCAATGCA